ACATTCTTTAGCCCAACTGATTTGGAAACAATGAAGCTGCTTTATGTTTTTTTTTTTTTTTTGCTTTAGAACATTGCTTGTCGGTTACAAGTAAGTAACTAACCCTTAAAGTCTGATGTTTTATTTATTAAAAATAGTTTAGAGACTTAATTATTTAAAATGATAATATTTAATGATTTTTTTATTAAAAAAATTTAAGGATTAAATCATTAAAAATGAAAAAATTGATTGGGTTTTTTTAAACTTTTTCCCTTTAAATATTAAAAAATGTACTAATTTCTATTATTAGATGAAAATAAAATCTTGTATTCAGCATAGGAAAACAAATATATAAATTTCCATAATTTAAAATAAAATATAATAAAACTGCTTAAACATAATTGAAGTGATAATCAGTATTATTCCAATAAAATCCATCACTGCTAGTGATATAAGTTTTATTAAACTTTTTCATATTTGTAATATAAAAATTACTTTTTTCATCTCAAAATAATGTCCACAATAAAAAAAATATATACAATTTTAAATAAATATAATTATTATGAACAAAATAAAAAACTTACCCTAATAATAATTATGATTAATTTTTCCATCTCATAACTAAAAACAAAATGAGAAGAAATAAACATTGGATCACATTTTAGAGTGAACATACTCTCCTTTGAATGTAGGATTAACGACATATTCTAAGGGGTCGGTTACCAAACAATTATCCGGTAAGCTCTTACTGGTGAAATTTAACACTATCATTTACTTACCAGGTAAGATTTTAGCCTACCAAAACGGTATCGTATGCAACAATTTACCCGGTAAGCGCTTACCATGGTAAGAGTCGTCGTCTTCACTTACCGGGTAAGACTCTTGGTCCTTGTTTTATTCTTACCGGGCAAGATTTATGGTCATTACTATATTCATCCGGTAAGGTAATGTGACAAGTTCACTTACCAAGTAAGTGTTTGGTAAATGGCCCCTAAATTGTAATATCTCGCTCTAGAAATCCCCAAATTACCAATTTTATAAAATCTCTAATAAAATACAATTTATTGATTGTTAAGACCAAAAATTGATCCTAATTATTCTAAAAGTTTATCAAAGCAATCGGGCCAAGGATTAAAAATCTGAAGATGCTGCTGAAATGACTAAGTATGGAGGAAGACCAGAGCCCCTATAGACGGACCAGAGGCAGGCGATGGACCAGAGGCTGCTGAAATGACTAAGTAT